CTAGTATCCACATCAAGATCTAGTATATCCACATCAAGATCTAGTATCCACATCAAGATCTAGTATATCCACATCAAGATCTAGTATCCACATCAAGATCTAGTATCCACATCAAGATCTAGTATCCACATCAAGATCTAATATCCATATCAAGATCTAGTATCCATATCAAGATCTAGTATCCACATCAAGATCTAGTATATCCACATCAAGATCTAGTATCCACATCAAGATCTAGAATCCATATCAAGATCTAGTATCCATATCAAGATCTATTACCGGAGATAGTATTTAATAATTTTGAAATCTGAACAATTTTTTAAAATATCTCCGGTAATATTGACAGCACAAAAAAGACAGACCACATTTTGAAAATCCCAGGACCAGAAATCTTGTAGTCATTGTTTCAAGAGTCATTCCTGTTAAAACTGAAATTGTATTTGTTTAGATCAAAGCTGAATCTGATGCTCAAACTGTTTTTGTATCCCAGCAGCTGTTTTACCTGGAAGCGCAGCTGCGAAAAAAGCAGCAGAAGATTCAAGAAGAGCTGCAGGATAAAGATGCAATAATAGCTGCACAGAAACAGGTTTCCATATAATTTTAAACATTATTAGATTTTTAAGTTGGATTAATTAATTTTACAGTCAATGTTGCTAATTCTAATTAAATTAACTTAATGTTTATAATTTCCATTGTTATCATCGATGCAGAGTTGGCAATGTCCGATTTCACAATGGTAGCCTTGAAACCTTTCTCTGATCAATGATGGGGAAGATATTGTCGTTTTTCTAGATTTTAAAGCTTTTAATTCGGATATTTGTCACTTTTGTGAAGAAACCTCAATTGAAAATAATCAGTTTATTAAATTACAAATTTAATATCTAATTCACACTTGTTCAAAAAAAGCTTTTAAGGGTGCCATTGTGAATAGGGCATTGCCATTTTTGCATGGAGGGTCATTTGAAATCATGCTCACGGTCCATTTAAGGTGCGTAAAGAATTTAATATTGATAATCATCAAAAATATTTCAATTTTGATATAATGTTACATTACAAATTGATGTTATAATAGGTTCTAAATCGAATTTAATTTTTAATGACACTCGTTAAAATTAGAAAAAAATGTCTTTATTAAATGTTTACATTTTTTAGGAAATTGATCAACTCCGCCGTACTGTACTTGAATTTTCTGCTAAGCAGTCTCTATACGGAAGCCTAAGAAGGCCTAAACGGGAGCGTCCCCCTGCTGCTGAGTTGTACAGTTCCAGTGACAGCAGCTCCCCTGGTTCTTCTCCCAAACATCTTCAGCTGGCGCGTCAGCTGTCTGATGGACCACGTGTACTGTCAGCTGATCAAAAACAGCTGAACAAAATGGCGGAAACCCCGTGTGTGAATTTATCGCGGCAAACCAAGTTGATCAGCCGGGGTACAGAGAGACCGAAGCTGAAACAAGCAATTAGTGTCGGCAACTTGAATCTGGAAAGTGAGGACAATCAAAAACCACGAGGAAAGTTTTATTTATAATTTATAAAAAAACATTTTGGTTAAAATGTTGGAAAATCATTTAATTTAGTTTGGTTTAATATTCTTAAAAGGACACCTGCGCAATGGCGCAGAGATTTTTTAACTTGACCATATAGGGTCAAAACTATTTTCAAATAAATGTCAGTGTTAAGATTTTATTATCACTCAAACATTTTCTTATAAGCTGAATTAAATTTTTTTCTAAAAATGTTATCCCTGAAGTTTTGCATTTTAATATTAGTACAATTTTGGGAGATAAAGTCCAAAGAAGTTAAAAACTTTATAAAAAAAATTGTTCTGCAGGAATTTTAAAACCAACATTTAATCTTCCCCGGAAACCCCCAGTTCCGAGTAGACAGGTATTTTTTGTGAATTAAAATGGACTGTACAAGTAATTTTATGTGAGCCTTCATTTGAAGAGAGAACTATCCGATTCATACCGGTCCCTTTGTAAGGTCACTGACAGTCCACTTCTAGATTTAAATGTTTTGTAATTCGATGAATATTTTGTTTGTGTCTCATCGAATATAATCAGGGGGCAGGCATAACTCTCCTAATTTTGCCTGTGGCTGTGGCTGTACAACAAGAAGTTTAAAATTTCAGATGCCCCCTCTACTAATATCTCGATGAATATAATCGATGATGCGCAAACAAGAAAATGGAGATTGGAAAAAGCTATCAGCTGCGATCATCTGATTATTTATAGAATTTAATTAAAACTAAAATTATGAAACTATTATTATTATTATTAAAAAACTTAACAAAAATCTGAATAATTAGGCGGTGAACGAGAAACTGAATATTGCTCATGTATCCGAGGATTCAGGTAACTAATCTAACAATTTGATCGTTTTATCGAACTTACCGAAAACATTAAGAAACAACGAACTTTTTGTTAAAAATAACGAACAGAATGTCAGGTATAGTGAGATTCAGAAAACTTTGGAATATGAAGACAACTTTATGACACAAGTTAAGACTTTTTAAATTGTCTGCAATGAACATTAGACACAACAATTGTGCGGTGTAAACAGACCTATTGGTGTAAACAGACCTATTTCATTAAATAAGTTATTTAATAGCTTACTAATTAAGCTATTTGCTTTGCAACAAAATCAAATGCACTTCTGCAGTATTGTTTTAATATCGTCTTCATATTCCACAGTTTTCTGGTTATCACTGTATATGAATGCTTGTTACACATTCTTACCGTGTTCAAGTCGTTGGTTTAAATATTTTAGTAAATTGTTTTAACAAAATGCTGTTTTTTGCTAATAGTTTTTGATTAAACATCATATTCAAATAATTCTTAAAAATATTTTTATCCAAAATGGTGTTTGGGTTGAGTTTTATGCCCAATTCTTAAATGAGAAATAGTTTTTATACCAGATATTTTGGAGATATTATAAAGAAAGGCTTTTGGTAAAAACTACAGTAATAACTAGAAAACTCTGAAATAGAAAGACGACTTTTAAATTCAAGTTAGGACTTCAACAAGTTCAATGAACATTAGACATAGCAATTGTACAGCGTAAAAAGACCATTTTCACTTATATTGTGCTCTGCTAAGTTAATAGTAAAAAATATTTGCTTTGTAACAACATCAAAAGTATTGCTAAAATGTCGTCTTTCTATTCCATTGTTTTTTGGTTATCACTGTATTCTAGATTTAGACAAACGAGTTAAAAGAAGAATTGTTTTTACCTTTTTCACTCCGATTATTATAAATAATTTTAGAAAATTAATCTTAGAAGCAAGTTTTCTAAATGATCCATCCTCGATTTTCGGTTCAATATATGTAGCAATTTTAGAATGTAAAAACTTGTATGTATAGGAATCAAATGAACCCTGATTTTTGTCTTTATAATACTGCACTACCCGACCTAGCCAATCACTCCCTTTCAGAATAAATCCAAGTATAATTTTCAAAAGTAAATATTAAAAAAATATATATTATGAAAATAAATATTTTAAATAATTCAGGGAGAGAGAGTGATGTTCGTAGCTCACCAGGCAGGGAGTCCCCAGATCCTTCATCCTTAAGGTCATTCATGCAGAGGTCAAGGTCATTCATGCAGAGGTCAAGGTCATTCATGCAGAGGTCAAGGTCATTCATGCAGAGGTCAAGGTCATTCATGCAGAGTCAAGGTCATTCATGCAGAGGTCAAGGTCATTCATGCAGAGGTCAAGGTCATTCATGCAGAGGTCAAGGTCATTCATGCAGAGGTCAAGGTCATTCATGCAGAGTCAAGGTCATTCATGCAGAGGTCAAGGTCATTCATGCAGAGGTCAAGGTCGAAATTGTAGAGATCATTTTAGAGGTCATTTGCTTGCAAAATTATGGGGTGCACATTCATCTATATAAATTTGGCTTGTCTGTCTGTTTGTTTGTATCCAATAAACGTCAAAACGGCTGAACCAATCGGGCCAAAATTTTTGTGGGATGTCGCGTGACCCCAAGGAATGATGAAAATTTAAAAAATTTGTGTTGAAAAGTTTTTTATTTTTGTAAAAAGTTTTAAAATCTTGAAAATCCGTAAATTTTTTTTTTAAATCCTCGAAATTTTTTTTCTTTGTTTTTCAATGTTTCAATGAGAACAAGTTCACAATTGAATTGAGATTTACCCATAATAGTGTAAAACCCTTTGAAATATTGTCAAGACGACATTTCATAAGTTCTTTCGTTGCCTCAAAAACTGTGGGGTAAACTATAGTCGTATACTGAAGGTCAAGGTCTAAATTGTAAAGGTCATTGTAGAGGTCATATACAAAACTATGGAGGGCATTTTCATATTTTGAGAGGTCAAGGTAAAAACTGTAGAGGTTTAGGTCAACATTTTTAAGTACAAAGTAAAAAAAGGTCATCATGGAGGTCAAGGTCATGGCTGTTGTTCTTAAGATCACAACAAAAGAGGCAAGGGCAATAATACAAAAGATCCAGGTAATGATTGATAACAAGGTCAATGTTTTGAAGAGATCGGTTAAAGGGACTGTAAGCATTAATTCAACTGACACTCTATGAAAAGATAGCAATGCCCGATTTACAATGGTACCCTTAAAAACCTTTATTAAAGCAATAGAAGATGGTAGAAGATATAAACGTTTTCAAGGTTTAAAAGTTTTGAATTCTGATAACTTTAATATTTTTTTCTGCATAGTTCCGTAGAAATGCGCCAGTAACTTTTGAAGAGAAACCACACTAGAAATTCTTTTGAAATTGTATACATGAATATGTCATCCATACTTGATCAGATAAATATACCATTAGCTTTAAAGGGTAGCGTTGTGAATCGGGCATTGTCATTTTTGAATGGATGGTCGTTTGAAATTACGCTTACAGTCTTTTTTAATCCATTCTCTTCTTCAGGAGATCTATTGACAGTGCTGTAAAGTCAACCGCACAGATTAACAGACGATGTCACAGCATTGATAACAGCTACAGTGTTGATAACAGTTACAGACTGGACAGCGGTAACAGCTCTATTGATTACTCTGACAGTTGTTTAGATAACAGATTTGTTGCCCCAGGTAAAATACTGAATTTTAGCAAAGATAAAATTTTCAACAACAAAATAAGTATTGTTTCGCAGTGCTATAAAGTTTTTATTAAGATTTGAGATTATGAGAAAGTACAATTTTAAACGCTTTATAACACGTCGTGTCTTAATAAAAGTGATATGGGTAATTTTATGAAATATTTGTGTACTTGCCTTAAAATTTCAAGTATAGTTTCATTTAAATTGAAAAACAATTTTTTTTACACTTTATAACTGTTTGTATTCTAAGTTTATTTAAATATAAAAGAATATAAAAATGTGCTTTGCATGAATATTTTATAGAAATGCCCTTCAATCTAAAATATTTTTTAATGGATTATTAAAAGGATTTTATTAGAATTTAATTTTTAAGTGACCTTTAATTAAACCTTAATTAAACCCTAATTAGACCCTTAATTAAAGCTTAATTAAACCCTTAATTAAACCCTTAATTAAACTCTAATTAAACCCTTAATTAAACCCTAATTAAACCCACAATTAAACTCTAATTAAACCCTTGATTAAACTCTAATTAAACCCTTAATTAAACCCTTAATTAAACCCTTAATTAAACTATTAATTGAAATCTTAATTAAACTCTAATTAAACCCTAATTAAGCCCTTAATTAAACTCTTAATTAAACTCTTAATTAAACCCTTAATTAAACCCTTAATTAAACTCTAATTAAACCCTTAATTAAACCCTAATTAAACCCTTAATTAAACCCTAATTAAACCCTTAATGAAACTATAATAAAACCCTTACTTAAACCCTAATAAAACCCTAATTAACCCCTGTGTATACCCTAATTAAACTCTTAATTAAACCCTTAATTAAACTCTAATTAAATCCCTAATTAAACTCCTAATTAAACTCTTAATAAAACCCTTAATTAAGCCCTTAATTAAACTCTAATTAAACCCTTAATTAAACCCTTAACTATACCCTTAATTAAACTCTTAATTAAACCCTAATTAGACCCTTAATTAAAAGTTTAATTAAACCTTAATTAGACCCTTAATTAAACCCTAATTAAACCCTTAATTAAACCCTTATTAAACCCTTAATTAAACCTTAATTAAGCACTAGTAAAACCCTTAATTAAACCTTATTAAACCCTAAACAAACACTAATTAAACCCTAATTAGGCCCCTAATTAAACCCCTAATTAAACCCTAATTAAACCCTTAATTTAACCCTAAGTAAACCCTAATTAAACCCTTAATTAAAAGCAGAGAATGTCCAAAAACGTGGCTTGGCAAGTTAATAAAGATATTCAAGACGCATGTTTCTCAAAAAGTAAAATAAATGAATAATAAAAAATGGCGATATCTCTCCTTGCTGCTCAGGTAAAGATGTAGAGTGTACCCTTGTTAATTGTGCATGCATATCTTCAATCAAGGGGACACATGCATCAACAAGCAATATTCCAAGAAAAATTGATGTTTGTGATATTTTTTGGACTCTTTTTCTTCCAATTCCTTTTTTATTTTTACGGAACTAAAATTTATTTTTCGAAAATTGTTTCATTGTCTAATAGCGTTTTCTCTAATATTTTAGGGATGAATAATGAACAGTTGGAAAGATGTTTTGAGCAGTACATTTTGCCCGGGCAGGATGTAAACAAGCAGGTTGGTCACAGAAACGTAAACAACAATTCCAATTCAGTAAATTTTTTTATGTTATCATGAGAGATTTTCTTGCTACTCAGAACAAGCAATAAAAAAAAGAGAAAAAAAACTTTATTTTTTAAAAATTATAATTTACGTTTTCCAGGGTAAACGGGTGAGTTTTCAACATCAAGGAACTTTTGATTCAGCTCCTTCGTCCATAGATTCAGCTCCTTCATCCATAGATTCAGCATACGCTTCATCCCAGTTCCTTGACACTAGTTGTCCATCCACTTTCATCCAAGAAAAAAAAAGTCCAGCCGTAGTGAAAACGGAGGACAACAAAAATACCGAATCAAGTTCAGAAATCCTCAATGTCGGGGATCCTAAAACTCCGCAAAATGAGGAAAATCCGCAAAATGAGAAAACGCGCCAAAAATCTGGTTCGGGATTCACCAGGAATGTTGGAAAAGCTGAAGAAGAGAACGAGACAAAATTCCTCGCTAATGTTGGTTTAAGGCAAGAGCCTCGAAGACGTAGTATGCTGGGTCATATTCCAGACACTTCATTTAGTCTTGCCAATCAACCTTCTCCAAACTTGAGAGACTTTTCCCACTCAAACAACAGACCTTTTACAGCAGGTTTGATCAATCTTTTTAATTAGTGTATTATTTTTAAAAAAATCAAATTGAAATACCTGGATGGCTTGCCAAGCCAAATTACTGTCAAATGTAACTTTTTAAATGTAAGGGTAGTTTAAGTGACACTTTATGCAAAGATGTCAATGCCTGATTCACTAATGCAGCCTTGAAACCATTATCTGTTCAATGATTGGGAAGATATTAAATTTTTCTAGATTTGAAAGTGCTTAATTCCTGCATGTTTCCTGCAGAAGAAATGATCAAGTCACTACAGTAGAGAAACCACATTTGAAAATAAATAGTTTTTTAATCCTAAACATTGATATGTCATTCATATTTGATCAGACAACTAGCTTTTAAGAGTACCAATGTGAATTGGATGCATAAAGGGTCATCAATGTCCCTGAAAATATAACAATTTTAATTTTATATTTAGGTATCACCCACGGAACCTCGAAGGGATTGAAAGCTAAACTTCTACCCTGTTCTATCCCTACAGTTCCTATGAGCTCCCGAAGTAATCAGCTGAAGCCCGATTTCCCGCCAAAATCCACGAAATCAGTCTCTGCATCTGAGCAGCGTACTGTACAGGGGATAAAAAAGAAAGCTCCCAATGTCCCACCACCAGCTCCACCTTTACCAAAAGTATCCCTAAGCACCCCAACTAAACCCCTAGGAGCAAGAGCCTCAAATTCAACCTCAGAATCTCAAAGATGTCAAGGACAAACTGCCCTGGCCTCGGATGCCATGCCACCTTCAATTTTTCAAGATGACGACCACTCTAGTCTAAACAACCTTTCTAGTCAAAACATGGAATTTGATCCTAGTCTCTCAAACAGATTTAAAGCAGTTATTTCAGAAATAACTCACAGGTATAGTTTTAACAATTTTAACTTAGCTTAATTTAACAATAAACATTTTTTCTTTAGGTCACCTAGTCGGAAAGATTTTCAAAACGCATTGGCATCAAGCAGAAATCCGCCAAATGGACCTGTCGCCATTTTGAATTCTCCAAACCATACCAAACTTTGTAAATCCATCTCCCTAGAGTCTAGTCCAATAATTTCGGGATTATTGCGGGAAAATATTAATTTGATTCCATCTTCTTCAATTCAGATCAAATCTGTTTCTAATTCATTTGTTGTAAACAGTTTTGAATATTGTTTTGATAATCAAAAGTATATTTAATGGGACTTTCAATCTGTTTTAAGCTGATGTTAGGTACCCACTCAATTTAAAAGCTACACGCCCAATTCACAACGGTACCCTTTTATACCTTTCTATGATTAAAATGATTAAAATATGTTCGTTTTCATGTTTAAACATGTTGAATTTTATAATCTTCATTCCCTCTCTCTGTAGAGAAGTTCGAAAGTCACTCTGAGGAGGGAGGGAACCCCCGGACGCCATGAGCCTCCACTATGCAGAAACGAGCATCCCAGATGTGCTAGGCAGACCGAGCCTCCGTTATGCAGTAATGAGCACGCGCAAATGTGCTTGTGTAAAATAGGAGGTTTTTTAAAACTTGTGTTTTAAGTTTAAATAATAGATTTGTTTACAAATTTTTCGAAATAGTTGGAGGCTCGGTTTGTTTAACAAATTTGGGAGGCTCGCGTATGCAAAGCGGAGGCTCATGGCGTCCGGAATTTCCCTCCCTCCTCTCAGAAAAATCACAATTTCAGAAAAATTTTACCGGAAAACTTTCAAATTTTTGTAATTTTTGCTCATCGATGAAGATTTAAAGGGTACCAATGTGCATCAGCCGCACCATCCATTAAATCACTTGAATATTCGTCTACAGTCTCTTTAATAATTATTCCTTGCCACATATTCGTGTTTATATGTTAAGTCTGAAACTTTAAAAAAGTGCTAAAAGATAAACTTATTTTTTGTAAATAATTTTACTATTTGAAAGAATTTTAAGCCAACTTTTATCAAAAGATCAGTTTAAAAAACCTATCCTTTAACATAAGTGTCATAGATCAACAATTTTTTTTTTAAACCCCGAATTCTCCTGTTTATTTTTTATTCAAAAGTTTAAGCCTTTGGCCAAGGAATAAGCATCGCCATGTAAATGATATCTTGTTAAAACTGTAAATATACTTTTTTACGTAATTGTTTTAATAAATATAACAACATATGTTTTCTTTTCTTAGGGAAAATACACTTTAATTTTAACAATTGATGAACAAATTACAAAATATCAATTTGTTGAACTCCAAATCTAAATATTATTATAAAATGTTGACCAACATATAAATCTTTTTTGATCAGTTTTAACTATTTTTGTTAGTTTATCCTTACTAAGCTTTTAAATTTTAATTGTTACTCTATCTGTGAGCATCTTCTCTTTGTACAGTATAAAAAGAAAAACAATAGGTTAACAGATTTTCAAATATTTTTTAGCGCGATCTTTAAATTTCACAAAAATCAAAAGCTTTGTGGAAGGGTGAAAGTTTGAGAATGATTGCGCAAAATGCTATTTTTTCACGCAAAAATGTAGCACAACGAAAGAAAAAAAATTACACTAAAAATTGCGCAAAAGTTTTGCGAATGGAAAGCCATCCATACATGAATGGTCCACTGGAATCAGCCTAAAAATTGTTAACATAAAAAAAAGCAGAAGCAGTATAATTTTGATTTGAATGCATCTTATTTAATCACAACTGTGTGACAATGGACTGTTTATCAAAGTAAATAAATACAAAGATGAGCCTAGATCACAGAAGGATAACAACGTTTTATGTTACAAATATTCTAGAATAATATTGCGACGCACTTTAATTTAATTTTAATGTTAACTTGGTTTCTTATCTTTCAAGCTTACACTGTTATTTGAAATTTGCATTTAAACTAATGTAAAAAGTCAATTAAATGCACATTACCCAACTATGATGCCTAAAACATACAGGGTTATCCAAAAAGAATGTGACTTTAGAGACGACTGCGCGGAATTTATGAGTCCCCTAAGCTGTAAAAGAATTTCTTTCTCTGTAAAACTATTTAAAGGCTTATCATAAGCAGATTACCTGCTCGTTATTGTTTTGACATAATTAATGACTCATCCTTTTCGGATAACCCTGTACATTATTGTTAATCGAGGAAAGCCTAATTTTCGTTTTACCAAGATGCAAATATGTGACCAAGGGAGAAAAGAAAGGTGTCATGACTGATCAAAAGTAACTGTTAGTGTTTCAAACCTTGATAGAATACAATTTTGAAAGTTTTTAAAACTTTTAGATGAATCAAAGATAGATTTTTTCAGTGACATGAACAAAGAAGTATAAAAGACAATAAAACCTTGCTATTTGATGCTACAAGTGTAAGACCTCAAATCAGAAGATATAATCATAAAATCAATTTTTAATTTCTTTTTCAGAAAAGATATGTTGAAAGCCATTATATAGGCATCTTATTCAACAGAACACTTTTTCAGAAATAGGTCTGAAGAAATGTTCAATTACTAAGATCTTAATACTAATACAAACTTTGTAAACAAAATAAAATTTAAAGAAGTAGAGATTTATTTGAAATTTTTAAAGAGTATTGCTGTTAATCCATTCAACGAAGTAGCTGGTCTGGGTGTAGACACCGGGGTATCCGGCCTCGGCACATCCATATCCCCAGGAGACAACTCCAGACAGTTGCTTTCCGCACATGAATGGTCCACCGGAATCACCCTAAAAATTGTTATTATTACAAAAAAGATTGAAAAAATTTATAAAGAACAGATGTCGGAGAAAACGGGATCTAAAGGGGCTGTCTGTGTAATTTTAAGATGGCAATGCCCGATTCATAATGGTATCCTTGATACCTTTATCAAATCAATAATGTGGAAGATATGGTTGTATTTCTGGTTTTAAAAGGGTTTCTATTTATATCTAGTTCATGCTTGATCAGACAAAGGTGTTAAGGGTACGGTTGTAAATCGGACACTGCCATCTTTGCATGGAGGGTAATTTGAAATTTAGGAAAATTTAATAAAAATCTCATGAAAATTACCTGGCAGGAGTCCTTGCCTCCGGCATCTAATCCAGCGCAGATCATAGAGTCATAGATGGAGCTCTGTCCGTAGGAGCCACGGCAATCATCATCAGAGACAACAGGGACATCAACCTTTCTCAAGGTGTTGGCAATAGAGCCTCCAGCTGAGGTGGTTCCCCATCCGGTGACAGTGCACACAGTTCCGGCATCGTATTCCTCGTTGACGGAGGGCAGAGCAATGGCGGCAACGTGTGCTCCGTAGGTGGCGGGAGTCTCCAGACGGAGGAGGCAGATATCATTGGAGATGGTGTTGCTGTTGTAGTCGGGGTGCTGAACAATCTCTGCGACCTGAATGTTTTCTTGGTCGGCATCATCGGCATTAAGTCTATGGTTTCCAACTGCTACTCCTAGTCTTTTGGCACTCTGGCTAAAAGATTAAACAATATTAATTTTATTACTTTAATCTGTTTGCAAATAACGAAAGGGAATGTAGAATGAACTAAAAATTAAATTTTGAAACAATTGCAATTCATTCAAATAATTTTTGTTCATAAAAAATAAATTTTTAAAGGGAAAAACTTACCCATCACAGCAGTGAGCGGCGGTAACAACCCAGGTCTCAGAGATCAAAGATCCTCCACACATGAGGCTGCCATCAGGACCTCCACGGAGAAGAGTGATCTGATGTGGGAACTCTCCGTACTCAGCCTCAGTACCTCCAACAATTTGGCCTCCACCACGGCTCAGGGGAGTTGAACGCTCGAAGTTCAAGAGTTTTCCAACTCTTGGTGCTCCTGCAATTAAAGAAAATATTACAAAAATTATGATTTTGAAGATTTTTGTCAACTTTTGTTTAAGGGTTTACAATCATGAGTTTAAAAGCAGTATTAGGGAAAAAATTACAACATTTCCTCAAAAGATGTTTTTTATTTTCTTTAAAGGTTTTACTCTGTGAATAAATAAATATTTAGAAAAAATTATTTCTGATAAGATGAGGAGGATGGGGATGGGGGGATGAGCACTACCGCAAATTTATTGAATTTAAACAAATTTGAAGAATGATACTACCAATGGAAATCTTTTAAGGAAAAAAAATTATTTTAATTCAGGGATTTACAACAAACGTAGTGTTTTAAAATTATGAAACTTCTTAGATTTTTTATTTAAGACTTGAAATTGTTTTACTGAACCTGAAGCAAGGGCAGCTAAACCTAGAACAATGAAGACCTTCATGTTGAATGATTATCAACGGTTGGTCAGCCATCTTTTATATTCTTCTTTATCTCAAGCAATGTTTGCTATCGGAGACGTGACGCCCCACTCTGCATTATACGTCAGAAACAAAGTAAATTTTTAATTTTTTTCGATAAATCATTTTTACTCCTTCGTTAATTTGTTTTATCAAATTATAAATTTTCAAGTTTTGATATCTTGAACCTCCCTATTTATAAAATCATGTCAAAATTTCTGTTTATTTTATTAAACTTTGTAAAACTTCTTATCTTATAAAACTTTGGTCTTGGAAAACAAATTCCCTGCGTAAAAACATCAGGGTCAAACAGTATTTTTCAGCCAAAACTTGCTGGGAATATAATGACGGTCGAGTTAAAGGGACTGTGAACGTAATTTTAAGTGATCTAAAACTTAAGAAAGAGAGTTCAAGCATGCCCGATTCACAACGGTAACTTTCAAACCTTGGCCTGGTCAAGCAGGAGTGAAATATCCATATTTTTCTATTTGAAAATTGATTATTTTCAAATGAGGGTTTTCCATAAAAATCACTCAAGATTTAGCCAGCAGTCCCTTTCATTCAATTTAAATGTATTTAGACAATAAACGTAGGTACAACTTAACGAATTCGTCTATTGGACATGGAAAAAAGTATTACGGAATAAAAACACCGGAAAAAAGTTTAATGAAAAAACTCCAAAACAAATAAAAGTCCTTTGAAAAAGTCATTGGGAAAAATCATATGCTTTTTAATCAAGGACTATTCTTATGGATATCTATGACTTTTTCCTCCGGACTTTGTTGGTCATAGAAAATAGGACTTTTTCCAAATGCTTTTTTTGATTGTGACTTTAATAGATGTTACCGACATAAAATAATCAAGTGCAGAATGTTTTGAAATCATTTTCAAAACATTTAAAAAATTTACATATTTGTTATTCTTTCCGCAGCTTTTTACATTTTAATAAAAGTACAGTAAGAACCAGACAACTCTAGAATAGGAAGACGACTTTTAGACCCAAGTTACTGGTTGACTTTTTACATTACAACACGCGACTGGCACAAATAAAAAAAATTGGCAAACTTTTTTGAACCCTGGGACTTTTAAAAGTCCATTGAACATGAGACACAGCAATTGAGCAGTGTAAACAATTATTTCACTTGAAAACGGATTTTTTATAAGTATAAGTATTAGCTTGGTAAAAACATCAAATACACGATAGATTGCTTAAATGTCGTCTTCCTATTCCACAGTTTTCATTCTTTTTACCAATTTAAGTAAATACGTCAATCATGAAAATGACTGTTTTTTTTTAAATTACTTTCTCAACAACTTAAATATTGGTTTGAAATAACAAAGATTCAATAATTTTGTGTTAAAAACGGAAATAGGAACTTTATAATGGGGCAGAAGTTAACAAGTTTAATTGATTCTCTCCATGCTAGATGTGTTAAGTGTTAACTCTTCAATATGAATGAGTCCGTTTATAATTGCCGACATGGGAAGTTAGGACATTTTAAGGATATGCTTCATTATTCTCCTTAATTAATGTTAAGAATTAAATTTAATTCCTAACATTAATTGGATACATTTTAACTTCTGTAATAAAAAGTATCAACAGAAATTTATCCAAAGAAATTAAGTCTTTGCCGCAAACTCTGCTTTTCTAAATTCTATATGTTTGGATTCCAATGTCGTAGACCTTAGATATTTCTAACTATGAATTCTGTTGGATCAAATTAAAACATCAAAGATTTACGACATTGGGTTGTTAAGATTCAGGGATTATAAAATCAGAGTTTGTGGCAAAGACTTGATTCCTTTATTCAAGTAGATCAAAAATCATACAGTTAGAAGGAACTAACATTTTCTTAGTATTATCGAATCAAAATTTGTAAGACCCGTAATTCTTAATTTATAATTAATCATAATTAATTTTATAAATATCTTCATAATTTCAAAGAATATCTTCAAAATTTCAAAGAATGTGTTCATAATTTAGAATAATATGTTCATAATTTCGAACAATATGTTCATAATTTCGAAAAATGTCTTCATAATTTCGAAAAATATGTTCATAATTTCGAAGGATATGTTCATAATTTCAAAGAATATGTTCGTAATTTCAAAGAATATGTTCGTTATTTCAAAGAATATGTTCATAATTTCGAAGAATGTGTTCATAATTTCAAAGAATATGTTCGTTATTTCAAAGAATATGTTCGTAATTTTAAAGAATATGTTCGTAATTTCAAAGATTATGTTCATAATTTCAAAAAATGTCTTCATAATTTCGAATAATATGTTCATAATTTCGAATAATATGTTCATAATTTCGAACAAAGAAGAATGTGTTCATAATTTCAAAGAATATGTTCGTTATTTCAAAGAATATGTTCGTAATTTTAAAGAATATGTTCGTAATTTCGAACAATATGTTCATAATTTCGAAAAATGTCTTCAAAATTTCGAATAATATGTTCATAACTTCGAATAATATGTTCATAATTTCGAACAATATGTTCATAATTTCGAAAAATGTCTTCATAATTTCGAATAATATGTTCATAATTTCGAATAATATGTTCATAATTTCAAAGAATATGTTCGTAATTTCAAAGAATATGTTCGTAATTTTAAAGAATATGTTCGTAATTTCAAAGATTATGTTCATAATTTCGAAGAATGTGTTCATAATTTCAAAGAATATGTTCGTAATTTCAAAGAATATGTTCGTAATTTTAAAGAATATGTTCGTAATTTCAAAGAATATGTTCATAATTTCGAAGAATGTGTTCATAATTTCAAAGAATATGTTCATAATTTCAAAGTTTATACATAATTTCGAAGAATATGTTCATAATTTCGAAGAATATGTTAATAATTTTAAAGAACATGTTCATAATTTCAAAGAATATCTTCATAATTTAAAAGAATATGTTCATAATTTCGAAAAATATGTTGATAATTTCGAAAAATATATTCATAATTTCGAAGAATGTGTTCATAATTTCGTATTATATTTTCATAATTTCAAAGAATATGTTCTTAATTTCAAAAAATATTTTCATAATTTCGAATAATATATTCGTGATTTCAAAGAATATGTTCATAATTTCAAAGAATATGTTCATAATTTCGAATAATATGTTCATAATTTCGAAGAATATGTTTATAATTTCGAAGAATATGTTCATAATTTCGAAGAATATGTTTATAATTTCAAAGAATATCTTCATAATTTCGAAGAATGTGTTCACAATATCGAAGATTATGTTCATAAAATCGGAGAAAATGTTCATAATTTCAAAAATTGTGTTCATAATTTCAAAGAATATGTACATAATTTCGAAGAATATGTTCTTAATTTCAAATAATATGTTCATAATTTCGAAGAATGTGTTCATAATTTCAAAGAATATGTTCATAATTTCAAAGAATATGTTATATTTGTTATTCTTTCCGCAGCTTTTTACATTTTAATAAAAGTACAGTAAGAACCAGACAACTCTAGAATAGGAAGACGACTTTTAGACCCAAGTACCTGGTTGACTTTTTACATTGCAACACGCGACTGGAACAAATAAAAAAAATATGTTCATAATTCCGAATAAATGTTCATGATTTCGAAGAATATGTTTATAATTTCGAAAAATGTGTTCATAATATCGGAGATTATGTTCATAAAATTGGAGAAAATGTTCATAATTTCAAAAAATGTGTTCATAATTTCAAAGAATATGTACATAATTTCGAAGAATATCTTAATTTCAAAGAATATGTTCATAATTTCGAAGGATGTGTTCATAATTTCAAAGAATATGTTCTTAATTTCAAATAATATGTTCATAATTTCGAAGAATGTGTTCATAATTTCAAAGAATATGTTCATAATTTCAAAGAATATGTTCTTAATTTCAAAGAATATGTTCTTAATTTCAAACGCCTGTAGAGAGATCACAGGTTTTTGCCCAATAAACTTAAATAAAGAAGCCCAATCTCACTAGGGTTTCCACCGGAATTCCGGGTTATAGTTTACGTACAGAAATGGTCCGAAAATGTTTTCCCTTTCCATTATGGCGAAGGTTCCAGAAATCCAGAATTTCGGAACCATTTCCGGGAAGATTGTTTTGAACCGACCGAGCCCAAAATTTGTGAGGCAACTCACATGGTCCAAGGGAAGGTTTAAAACTGGTTTAAAAATTTGTGCGGGAAAAAATATAAATATTATTAATTTTTNAAATATTGCGGGGAAAGTGAAAACTGCAACTGTAAAATAGTCATGATGAACTAGCTATACTAAAAAATTTGTGAATATATAATTATCTAACTGAATGCGTATTAAATATATGTCAACTAATAAGTTTTAACTTTTATTGTTTTAACATTGTTTTCAATGTCTAACATTGTGTTAAAATTTCCGGTTTACGAAATGAAAACTGGAAATTTAACGGTTTACGTAACGTAAACTGGCAAAGTTTCCGGGTTACGAAATGGAAACTGGAAATTTTACGGTTTCTATTTGATCCGGAATTATTCCGGTTTACTCAACAAATTTCCGGATCATTCCATTTCCTAAACGGAACAGTTTATTCTGTGTGGTTAACCGTGCATTAATGAAGTTTATATATACGTACAATAATTTTTCAAATTATGTTTTGGAACTCTTGTGAATCCATGGAAATCTAGTGAATCTATGGAAATCTTGTGAATCAATGGAAATCTTATAAATCCATTGAAATCTTAAAATCCATGGAAATCGTGTGTATCCATGGAAATCTTGTAAATCCATTGAAATCTTAAAATCCATGGAAATCGTGTGAATCCATGGAAATCTTGTAAATCTATGGAAATCTTGTGAATCCATGGAAATATTGTTAATCTATGGAAATCTTTTTACCATCACTTGGGTAAATATAGTAGTATGTTTCAATAAACGAAAATTGCAGTCCAAATTCTTATTAGTAGTCCATTCAAAAAGATTCAACAGCAACATAAGAATTGGAAAAGTAAAAAAACGAACCTAACATGTGAAATAATAGATTATGATTCTAGCTGAAATGTCCGGCGAAGCCGTAATTCACAAATCTAAATTTTAAAAAAATTCAATTTTAGAAAAAATATGTTGAACTGTTGTTATCCATGGATTCCCTTAAAAATACAAGCCACTTTGATCCAGTAGTTTGGTCAGTTATAGCTTTTAATCGATATCATTTACTATTAATTTTTGCCGTTGATACAACACTGCCAACTTCATTAACTTTTGATATTTCAAAACTAGAGGACAAATATTAATTCATTTAGAGTCAGCCTGGAGAGGAAGTAGATGATCGGAAATGAAAACAATTCTCATTAAACAGAAACGCAGAAGATGTTGAAATTTTTAAAAAGCTTCAAAACTTTAAATATCAAGCAAAAATATTTCTCGATACAGATTACTTTCTAGGCCACTGAGACAATTAATAATTTAATAAAGGCTTCATTAAGAATCTTTCCACGTTTCAACTTCAACCTCACAGTGAAAGAGGATTTAATTAACATTTCAGCACGCAATGTCAAGTTTCAGTAAAATTAGTTCAAATATTTCTATCTAGCAGAAGACTATAGTTCTAAAAATACTGACATTGCTATAAAGCAAACTTCTCAATAAATTATATTTGGTTGTTAAATTACACATTTATTTAGATGAATAACAATATCAACCAGCAGAATTATAAATATCCCAGCATAGAACATATCCAAGAACTCAGATCATAAAAAAGCTGATAAAATCCTAGTCTTGGAAGATCAGTGTCACCTCCTGAAGAAGAACATTAGATGAAATTTAATGCATTGATCTATTTGTTTATTTATTAATCTGGACATTATTTCAGTGTGATGGAAACGTGTCATTCATAATATCAGACCCGAAAGATGAAGCATCATCAATAAAATTAAATTTACTTAAAATTAAAAAATCTTACCGGAAGCGTTAACGAGAAATCTAAACCCCGTGAATGCAGGTGTGATTATCTCAGCGCCACTACCTAAACAAAAAAAAAGGTTTAATCACACGTTTCAACAGGATGGAAATCTTATCCATATTACTGAACATTTCAGATCTGCTATTCTCAGCATAATATTCTGATCGCCCGTCGCAGTATTTTATAATCATCAAAAAAAATTTGTTGATGTGAAGAATCATTTATACCTTGTAAGATGGAGGAGCTGGAATGGATGAAGCTGAGGTAGAAGTTGATGCCGCAAAAGATGACGAAAGGGGTTCCGGAGGTGCAAAGATCCTAAAAGATTTTAGTCTCTTTTCTGATTTCCTCCTTCACTCATGTCCTGAATTTCCTCATCATTGCTGAAAATTTATCAGTTAGGAAAAGAAAATCGCAATTAAAACTGAATATTTTAACAGCTTTTCATAACTTTGAGATGAATCATTTAGGTTCATAAACACGGACCAAAGATAAAATAATCATTAACAAGAATTATTGAAGGATTTGAAATTAAAAACGTACCCAAAACATTTAGCAGCAAACTCCTATCTCAAATCTAGTCCTGCAAGCACACAAATTAATTACGTTCAATGTTCTTTTATCATTTTATAAAAAGTTATTTTTTTCATTATAGCGTATATTATATTAATCAACATAATTATCTGAGAGGGCAAGTTATTAATCATTACAAGTTGAAAAATTTCTACCTACCATGCCAGTGAACCGTTTGAGCAACAATTTTTTCGCAGAATTAAAATTCCATAAAATTGCGAGAAAATCTTTAAAATGATATTAACCAGAAAGCTGGGAGAAATCGTATACATACTTGAAGTTGAAATAGTGCGAATTTACATCCACCCACATGATGCAGAATCTAAAAACAATTGTTATGAGAAGTGTTCAAGAGTTTAAAAGTTTGTAAGTATTAAAGTTAGTTCAGGTTTACCAGTTCACCATAATTATTAAGACAGGGATAACTATTATTAATCATCATTAAAAATAACTAATATTGGACAATGAAATAAAAATCACCTTGTAAAACCAACATTAAAGAGACTTGCAAAGATCAGTGAGCTAATTCAGGATCCTGAACAACGATCTTTTATTTTCTGAAAATTAAGTATGGACACAATTTATAGTAGCCCTCCATGAAAACTATGCTGGATCCACAACTTGACTAAATAACCATCTTGTACCTACGTTTACAGTGAATTTATAATTATTACAGTTCCCAGCAATGAAAGTGCATTAACTCACAGCTGGACAAGATTGCAAAGATAAAATGATTTACTTATTACAGTTAAAGCTTTAAGGATACTGTGTAAATAGTTATTTCAGATTTCGGTTACGTATATTCAAGATTAAATTGTTCCGCAGTCTTAGGCTGCAACCACTATGATTAGAGTGGTACAGGTGGAGCTATGGATATAATTTACGTTCTTGATGACGCGACTAAATCTATTAAAAACAAGTCGTAACACAATAGAACGGGATACATTAACCCACCCTCTTTTAAGGGATAAAAAACCAAATTTTATACCTTTTAAGTTTCAGACAATTTCAGCAATGCAACAATCTACTCCTAAATAGACTTCAGTTAAACCTGGATTATAATACTCGGGACAATGTCTCAGGAAAATGAATTTCAGAATTGAAGTTTGTATCATTACTATCAGGTGAAACACGGATGTAACATCATTCAAGTCAGAATAATTTAAAGTTACGCAAAATTAGAACTTACCCATTGGACAGTATTGAGAATTGTATCTCTCGACACCCATATCTCAATCTAGAAAAATAATCTTAGATAAAAACAGAGTATTGATTCAATACGAAGAATTGTATTAGGACTAAAGTTTAAGTTTGAATTCAGTTGAAGAGGTTTGTTCAGCATCAATTTCAGGCATATGCTTGTCAAAGATTATTATTCATCAGATTTAAATAACATTTTAAAATTTTGTAATTTTACCTATCTACCGACGGTGATTTAACAGTTTCGGTGATTTAAGGATTGGTTTTCGGGAGCGCCTGAAATATCAGAAAATCAGAAAAAGAAAAAATAAATGCGACATGAACAGGTTTTGATAAAATATCAGAGCTAAAGGATGGGTATTTTCGTCACTAGCTTAAGAGTGGTGCATGTTTAATCATCATAAATCTAATCTGACTAATGTGGAAGAATGTTTCTAATACCTGATAAATCATCCAGCATGTTCCCCAGCACGCTCCATCAGCTCATAGTTTACAACAAAATCCTAGAAAAGAAACTTTAAATTCTCTATCAACATAAATGAAGTCTTCCTAGTAAGTATTAAGATTCAGTGCTACACTGATACGTCTTCATATATTTCCGAAGCTTTGCACACGCGTTTTCATCCTATTAGTTACTTTCAAAGTGATACATTTTACAGTTTCAGGCCAGGTAGAAATGTCTATTATTAATTTATCTTGCATTCCTTTTAATTAATATATCTTGCATTCCTTTTTATATTCACCTACCTTATTTAAATGCACTGAAAGAAAAACATTTTGAACACAAAGCACACTCTAGCCTAAAAATAATCTAAATTACTTCATGCAAAAACGCTTCAATTTAAGACATTTTAACGGAGAAAATCAGTTTCTGTNTAATCCTTTCATTTTGTTCCAAATTCCTGGACAATCTTTTTATTGTTCCTAAATCACTGTCCTAATCCTTTAATTTTGTTCCTATTTCCTGAGCAATCTTTTTTTTTGTTCCTAAATCCCTGTCCTAATCCTTTAATTTTGTTTCTAATTATCAATTTTTTTGTTCCTAAAAAATCTTGCCACCCCCTCATTTAAATCCTGTGTCCGCCCCTGGTGGGAAAAAAAGTATTAGAACACTCACCTTCATAAATTCAAAGTCAAGATTGAAAGTGTAACCAAGAACAGGTGTAGGAAAACCTAAAATTAAACAAAAATAAAATATTAAAATTAAATGATCATAAATAATTTTGATTTATAAAAATAATTTCAGTTCGCCCTAGTTTTCAGGCTTCATTGGGAGCCCTCCTATCTAACCATATTAAAGCAATATCATCATGTTTCAGAGTTACAGAGAGTAAGTAACAAACTAACCTCAATATTATCAGCATTCGTCAGAAATGGTACACAGCACAGCAATTCCTGAAAAAATATTTGTTACTTTCAGTCAATATATAATAAAAATATATTAAGCTACGTTAAAATCAGACATCCAAGGAAGTTTGGCCTTCATNGAGTAACCTTCTCTTGAGGGCATGCACGATTTACAATGATACCGTTAAAACCTTTGTTAGATCAAAGATACCAAGCTAAGAAAATTTCCCCAATCAAAATTTGACACAAATCGGTCTAATGGTTTCTGAGTTATGATGTAAATATTCTTATTTATAAAGCAGGAGAGTGAGTGCCAAAAAACCGCGAGTGTGTACACTAGCACGCAGTGGGAACAGTTTCTGCAAATCTATCTGCATTCATCTTTGCCAAACATAGGTGTGAGTACCATTGTAAATCTGACAGGTTTCTCTATAAAAAAAATTTACCTTGTTATCTCAAAGATATCCAATAGCTTGAAATTGTTGACTTTCAATCCAAACGCACAGTTGATCCGTGCAGCTTTGAGCTGCATTTCATTCCCTACGAAAAATAGTTGATTGTGGTCACATACATTTATTAAATGGTTCAGAAATCGGAAACTTTACATCAGTTGGTAGTGCATGTTTGGGTAATCATGGTCTTCAGATAATGTAGGTAAATTTGATCATCATTTTAGAGAAGTGACTGAAAGCGTAATTTAGTGACCTTAAGTGCCAAAAACTAGTTTCCCTTCGCCCAATTGTCCGCTTTTAAATGAGGGGGCATTTCCCACGTCCTGGTCAACAATGGCTACAGTTTTGAATCAGACATAGACTCAATTACGCTTTCAGTCCATTTAATATCAAAAATGTACCTCGGTTATCCAATGGTTCTTAAAATAGCTAACTGCATCCAACGCACTAGTATTTCCATGCAGTAATGTCCTACAATTAAATCTGTATTTAAAAACACATATATTATATAATCGTTAAGTAACTGAAACTTTACATCAGTTGGTAGTGCATGTTTGGGTAATCATGGTTTTCAGATAATGTAGGTAAGTTTGATCATCATTTTGAGCAATGAGCAGTGCTTAGGATTCGGATCAACCAGATTTTGGCTTCCTGGATCCGGATCCGCAAAATTATGCGGATCCACGGATCCGGATCCAAGGGGTAGAATATCGACCAAAACCGCAAAAAAAACTAACATTCAAATCTGAATAAAGATAAGAAAAATTCTCATTTCTGAATTTCAAGGTTTAGGATAAAAAAAAACAACCAAAAAACTTTAATATTATTTTTTGTTAAAAAATTCAATAAATCTTTAAGAAATGACCTGGATCCGAATCCGGATCTGAATGCGTATCAAACTTAAATGGATCCTAAGCACTGATTTTAAGAAGCGTTCTAATATTACCTCATTTCCACCGAATACTCGTTTAAGATTCAAAACAGGTTTCAGAATTCTACCTGAAAAATAAATTAAATGAAAGTTCGGCTTAAAACCCATGGATTAAAAGCAATTAAGCCTAAAAATGTTGATTCCTTGGGTAATCCTGTCAGAGTATGATTCAACCTGACAGGGACCATTAGAAAGCAATGTTTTTTGTCGCCACCAGATTGACCCAGAGACCCACAAAGAGATCCAGGGCTTCGATTTGGGGCAATTTATAAAAACTTAATTCAAAATAATAGCGACCTTCCAGCAATAGAAAATTAGATGTGCGAATTAAATCACAATTCAGATACAAAACATTTTCAAGCAATATTTTCATAATAAGTGTTAAAATACCTTTTATCAATTTAAACTCTGGTCATAGAGTGAAGTGTCGAGAAAAATGTAGTCTCCTAGAACCTAATATAAAAATGTTATAAATAGTTGATTGCGAGATTAAGAAGATATAATATTTCCAGACGAGTTTTCAGATACTATCTAGTAAGTCAACATTTAATTCTGTTGTCCCTATCTTTATACATCATTTCATAACAAAATAAAGAACCATCAACGTATTTCATGATTACACGCGATGAATTTTATTCATCAGAACGGGTTAACTAAGTACCTAACAGCCCCTTCAAAATTTAATTACCTTGATTTTGGTTTAAAATGCGACTAAAGTATCTTCATAGCTGTAACTCCTGAAATAGGATCAAATAAGATTTGTTTCAGTGAAACAAAAATGTTGAAATTCCAATAAATTTAATTTCAGTTGATATTTTTTAGTTTCATATTTTTCAATACAGGTCTGTGTATTTTCATCATTGATTGATTTAGATTAATCTGTGGCGCAAGGTTATCAAGAACATGCATAATGGGACTGAAGCTGAAATTAAACTGATTCATGCCAAGTTAACAACCAGATTCACAAAGGTACCCTTAAATTAAAAACAACTTCAATATATATCAGGATCAATCAAATAAAAGTTTAACTTCCATGATCGGATATTGCTTACTTAGCATGCAGTAAAATGAAATGACGCTTCCTGGCCACAGAAGTTATCTTCTTCATGGATCACATCTCTAGTTACCTTCAGTTTTCGTAGAATTGAATGCCAAACTTCCGGTCTTAGATCACCAGAGAGATTAACTTTCCTAAAACAAAAAAAAATGTATTTTCAGAGCAGAAAACTGTAGAATTGTGGTTGTCAAGATTCATGCTTCAACTCCTGGTTTTACTAAACCAGAGATAATTTAAATACGCATTTGAAAAACCGGTTTTTTTCCTGGTGTTAATTGTGTCATATCAATTGACCTAAACATCAATTAAATAAGTGTAAGTTTTGGATTAATGTTGGTTAAGACTAGCGTTAAAAGTGATAAGTCATAAAATGTGATAAAAAATATTTTTTAATAAGTTCGTATTAACATGATTAATTTATATTTGCTGAAATGCTCTAAAAGCCGGCTTTTGAACAGCTGACTTTAATTCAATCTGATATTAGTTCAATCGAAATAGCGTTGTATCTGTAATTGTTATTAAGTATCTGTAATTGTTATCAAACGTAGCTTTTATACAGTATAGGGATATCCAAAAAAGAGGATTAAGAATAAAATCATAAGTGTGTACATTGGATACTCAGATTAAGCGACCAGGATTAAGGATAAGTGTTCAGCTCAGGTAATTAAATCGTTGGCAGAAGAGGGGGGGGGAGGGTTAAATGAATGCGTCAGATTGTCGGAAAGGTTTCGTATCCCGCAGTACAAATATACAGTCAACATAACGACAGATGTAGAGGATATTGCAGTATGAACGCCAAGTATAGCATGGTAGTACAAGCCTGTAGCCGATACAGTTCTATTCTATATATAGAGTTCAAATATTCAATGTTGACACTATTTAACTAGGATAATTGCTCATTATCCTGAAAAATTATCAAGTTATCGTAACAGGGGTAAACAATTTCCAATATTCTACACAAGATGAAAAATTATCGTTCTGAGCTAGTAACTTTTTGACAAGTTACTACCAAACTCAATCCCACTATCTTGATATAACACTTTCTTCACTAAGAATTATCATAAGAATCAGACAGATTGCATAATTGCATATTTGTTACATACAATACTTTTATTTGAAGTGTCAATGAACAAATTAAGGGAAAATTTTTAAAAAATTTTAAGAAATGAAAGAATTATTAAGAAACATTCTTGGTAGTAGGCAAGTATGAGTTCGATAAGATTTGTATCAATGTTTTTGGAAGATAAAACCAAGGGCAGAATCTAACGAGACAAAGATTTAGTATTGCACATTGGTTCGAGAAACAGTTCTATCGAAAAGAAGTTTTCCCAAGAAATGTGCCATATTTAAAATTTAAAATTTTTACCTTGAAAGAACCGTCCTCCAGAAAAAAAAAAAAACCCTAAACAAGCCCCCAAAAGAATAAACCTTAAAATTTTATCACTTAAAGAGTAGAGTTTGTTAAACAAAATAAATTCAGCCCTATCATTGATAATCACATGATATTCATGGTTAAAAAGCTCTTTGATTAATTCATCATGGAATTTTTATTTTCTTGAATAATTTACCAAAAATGATCACCTGTTGAACACTTTCTCGCTGGACGTTACGCTAGGACTAAAGTTAAATTCCTAAATAAAAAATCTCTTAAAAAAATGAAAGATTCAGAATTTTTAGTTGAAATGGGATGGAATCAGACATCCAAGGAAGTTTGGCCGTCATAGCTTGAGCTCCGGTGGAAACCGCGAATGGTAATGGTAGAATATTTCATCATTAAAAGGGGAGGGGGAGGGATTTAGTTTAAAATCTTACCTTACTAACTCAGTGTCCACAAGATAGACAAAAATGTCCAGGCGGCCTAAAAAATTGAATTTAATGACAGGTTCTGGTAAACAGAGACAAATTTAATAATTTTGTATTTCAGAAGGAAAGCAGCATAGATTTGGTTTCATTAAAATCAAACGGTAATTCCATTTTATTCATCATAATAATCCCCCCCTTTCCCGATAAAAATATTGGTTACCTTAAAAATGATCAAAATCTCGAGAATCCAGATGTTTCCAGATTCCTAAAAATTGACAAATTAAATTTTGGACAACGTTAAAAATCAACCAACGAGATTGTTGCAAAAATCAGACAAATGCCTTGGTCTTCACGTGCGCTTAGGAAACAGAACGTTCCCCTCGCAGTTAAGACTCGTCAGATAACACATCACTTTGAATCCTTTTCTCCAAGGGCGTATATTAAAATATTTTGAACGCCATGGAACAACATAAAATAAATATATTAACCTTTTAACAGAGATTCAATCTGGACTCTCAGCATTGTGATTTGACAACGACTCATCCTGAACAAAATAAATTTATATTTCAAGCTTTGTCTAAACGCGCTGAACATATTTTTAAAAGATAGATCAGACAAATGCCTTAGTCTTCACGTGTGCTCAGGAAACAGAACGTTCCCCTCGCAATAAGACTACTGACGCGGATTATTCATCACTTAGATTTACAAAATATTGTGAACGCCCCTGAAACAGTAACAAAAATATTCACCTTTGACAGAGAACTAAGTATAAAGAGATGAATCGACAGCAACCATCATAGCTCGTCCTGAACAAAAAAATATTATTTTAAGCTTTGTCAAAAATCATTTAATTTGTTAAAAGTTAAATCAGACAAATGCCTTGGTCTTCACGTGTGCTTAGGAAACAGAACGTTCCCCTCGCAATTAAGACTCGTCAGATAACACATCACTTAAAATCCTTTTCTCCAAGGGCGTAAAGAAGGAAGTGTTCATTTTTAAAATATTTTGAACGCCCTTGAACATAAAAAAAATATATTAACCTTGTAAAAGTTTAAACGGAGTTTCAATCTGAACTCTCAGCAATGTGTTTTGGCAACGACTCGTCCTAAACAAAAAAATTAAGAATTCAAGCAAAGTCCAGAGCACTTAACATATTTTAAGATTTATCAGACAAATGCCTTGGTCTTCACGTGTGCTCAGGAAACAGAACGTTCCCCTTGCAGTAAGACTACTGACGCGGATTATTCATCACTTAGATTTACAAAATATTGTGAACGCCCCTGAAACAGTAACAAAAAATATTCACCTTTGAACAGAGGACTAAGTTTCAAGAGATGAATCGGCAACAACCATCATAGCTCGTCCTATACAAAAAAAAGTTATAATTTTAAGCTTTGACAAAAATCATTTAATTTGTTAAAAGATAGATCAGACAAATGCCTTAGTCTTCACGTGTGCTCAGGAAACAGAACGTTCCCCTCGCAGTAAGACTACTGACGCGGATTAATCATCATTTTGGTTAAGGGGTGAGGATCTTGTTAGTAACTCCAGAGCGTCCCGTATCATTGATCATCTCCAAGCTTTAGCGCCAAGAATATACGCACCTCAGTATAATCTCTGCGAGAGACATCGAGTCCGTCATAGAGAACAATTTTAGGACCAATCCCCGGCCCCCTCCTATCAATTATGTACATTTACTTTTATATTATTGAGGGTTGGATTAGGTGAAGACAATTTCTGGGCCGCGCGCTGCGGTTAGAATGGGCTAGACGCCGGACGCCGAGCGCCGCGGCCACATAATCAATTTTACTGAAGTACAAAGTTGATAGGAGTGGGGGGGGGG